ACTGTAGGTCATCTAATCCAATTCTCTAATTTTATGGAGGGAGAAATGAGACTCAAAGATTAGAGAGACTTGCCTAAGGCTATACAGTAAGAGGGCTGGATTTCAAGCCCAGCACTAGTAACTTCTTAGTCTGGTTCTTTTCACTTTTCACTATAACATAGTATTCATTATCTCTGACCAAATGTTACAAGCATAGGTTAAACATTTCCCTGCACTTCTCTCTCCTTTTTTTTTTTTTTGAGGGGGGGAGGTAATTAGGTTTATTTATTTATGTTTAGGGGAGGTACTGGGGATTGAGCCCAGGACCTTGCACATGCTAGGCATGCACTCTATCACTTGAGCTATATCCTTCCCCATTTCTTTTCATTTCCTAGAGAAGGCCACTGTGAAACACACCTTTTACTTTTTTTAGATTGTCTTGCACCCTTTGCAGAAACACATGCAACCCTACTCATAACCTGTTATTGCTCCCTACTAAAAGAAACACAGAATTTACTTAGCTGACCCCAAAATTGTTCATTCACCATTGAAAAAAATAAAGTAGGGATGGCAGCAGATACTTTATACAAGTGGGTTGAAAAGAAATCTAGTTTGCTAATGAATCAATGTTATATCTATGCTTAACACACATAGTTTAAATAAATTATTATTTTAATAATTTAGCTCTGCAAAGCTGTAAGCTATAGTACAGCATAAATTACAGAAGTACACTAAAATTCATTGTAATGCCTTCAGGTTTCAGGCTGTGAGACCATATTACTAGAGAGACTTGTCATAATGAAGGCTTCCCAGTACTTCTAAAGGTAATGTTTGTGACTGCAGCCCATGAGGGAATTGCCTTTTAAGGAATCTTATGGAAAGGCATGTTACACACACACACACATACACACACAGAAATATCTTAACATTATTAAGCTTTAACACAATAAATATTTTATAAAAATTTAGAAGGAAAGAGGACTTCACACTTATTACCTACTATCCCAAACACTGTGCTATGTACTTTTTATATATTATTAATTATGGGTTAATTTAATCTTCACAATTCTAGAAAATATTATCATCTTATTTTTATAGATGGGTAACTAAGACTCAAAGAAATTAGGTGGTTATCTAAGATCATATAGTTTATAACAAACAGACATGGGACCTGAACCCTAGAGTGCCTTACTCTGAAAGCCACTGTACTTTCCTTTATGCTATGTTGCCATCACTGAAAAAAATTTAGGGTAAAAGCTGCTCTTTAGCTTCCCAGGATTTTTCTTAGAAAATCAGGTCACTCAATCCCTATCTACTGTGTGTAAAACTGTGTTGGGCTCGATTCATCCACTCATCCAACCACCTACCATCATCAAATACATAGGTGTCTGTTACATCCCAAGCATTATGCTCGGCACTGGGGATACACTGATAAGTGGGGAAAAGAAGTCCTCAAGTCCTTGGGCATAGAGGAAAGAGTTATTAGTTAAATAGTGATGCAAATAAATGCAAAGTTACGACTGCGTTAAGATTATGATGGATTAAGAGTTAGTAGCTCTGGGTCTGAAATTTAACATGGTACCAGTGTAGTGTCTAACAGGGGTCTCGGACTCATTCTGGAGCATCAAGGGAGATTTCTCTGGGGAAATGCTTATTGAAATCAGATCTGGAGAGTAAGTAAAATTACTTCAGTGAGGAAGATTGTTCTAGATTGAAGGAAGACTGTGCAAAGATCCTGTGATGAGAGAAAGTCTTGCCTATCTGAAGACATGAGTTAGGAACAGCCAGACTACACTTGGGCTTGTAGACCATGGAAATTATCTTGACTTTTATCTTAAGAGCAGTAGGAGGCCACTGAATGGTTTTAAGAAGGAAGAGAACATAATCAGATTTTCATTTTCTAAAAGCTCAAGCTGAAGTGGGAAGAACTGACTCAGAGGAGGAAGGAATGGATAAAGGCAGGCCAGTTAGGAGGGTACTGAAGTAGTCTGGGTAAGAGATGACAGCATGTTAATCTGAAAAGGTTAAAGTGGAAATAAAGAGAAGTGGGTGGACATGAGATGTACCTAGGAGTATGAAAATGACAGAACTTAGTAACAGCTTCAATACGGGAAGTAAGAGAGGATTTCAAAGATGACTCAGGTTACCTGG